GCTTGTAGTGGACTTGAAGGACAGTGAACCTTTAAAAAAGTAAGTGAGCTAGATACACTTTCATAATTATCATAAAATGTTACCTGTTGAGCATAATCGAAGCTATAATGTGCTACAATATTTAACATAGCAAGTGGCCTTGTTAGTGGGGGATTGTAATTGTTTGCTGCATCAGTATACAGCCCTTTTAACAATAATTGTGCCTCTTTTAATACATCCTTATAGTACTCCCTTTCCTTTTTAACAAGACTTCTGTGATCTAGTGCCTTTTGCATTGTCTGAAAATTCAAAATAATACTTGTGTTATTACAATACTGACTTACCTCAGTTATCCTTTCATCTGATTGCATGTTAGCACTTCTTATAATCAGTCCACTTATCTCTTTACAAGTGGCACACAAGTCAGACATAGGCTTCATTTTTTCAATATAAGGCAGGTAGCGTCGCCACAACATGTTGAATGTTGTTTCAGCACATGCTTTGACATGAAGCCCTTCACATGATTCCGCATACTCTAAGTATACCTGCCTTTTAGATGTACTGCATGGTAAGAACTTCTTATTCTCGTAACTTTTCATTCAAGGTATTCTTCCAGGAAGACTGATTCCATGGACTTCAGCGTAATTTCTGATGAAAGCAACAACCCGGAGAATATCATCATAAGTCAAAGCATGGTTTGGTGTCTTTCCAGTATTTCCGTGAACTCTAATAAAGTTAAGTACATAACATTGAATTTGTAAGTCTCATACCTTGGTATTAATCCATTCATTCTGTAGTTTTTCATGATTTCCTCAAACCTGCTTTTGCCACATGCATGTAGCTTCAGAAATGTTACTCTACATATGTAGTTGAAAAACGATTAATTTTGTGTTGTGTCACTCATAGTTACAAACCTTATGACCTTGATGCATGAACGTAAAAAATTGCCTCTTTCTCTCATTCTGTCTCCTGTGGTTGCCAGTCGACAATCCCCCCATGGTAGATGTTGCTGCCATTTGACTCATAATAGCAATTTCTTGAACTGGCTTTGCCATGGCTTGTATGTCACATCTATATGTTTTTATGTAAGAGTGACTGAACAGTGCATAGCAATTATCTGAGCAACCACATCCATGTTCAAAGAACTTTGATAATTCTTCCTCCTGTAGGTCTTCCTTCCTCATGTCATCACCAGAGTGAGTAGTTGAAGTAGCTGGAGCATCAGGCATCGCTGATTCTAAATCAAGATCTGATACTTGTAGCTCCACAGCCACCTCAGGATCAAACAGTGGTGGATTAATATCTTCATCACAATCTTTTGTCTCTTTCTCTTCTTTCTCTTCCTCTACCTCTTCTTCTTCCATATCTTCTACTGCTTCATAGTCTGTCTCTATCAATTAACAAATACACTGTATAACTAAGTTTATTATAATAATATTGTGCATTTATACAGGTGATGGAATGTCATTGTTGTGATAGCTGACCGCTATTCACAGTTAGTATGTAAACAGTGTTATGAATAAGCTTACCACTAGTTTCATCACAAAAGTAGTCCCCAAGAACTGAAGCAACGTAGTCACTGTCTCGAGGACCTATTTCTTCATTTAACAAGCGAGCAATGTCTCTTT